GCTATGAGTCGGGGCCGACTCGATGGCAAACAACAACAACAAAAAAACAATAAATGGCCTAAGTAGTATTTTGGAAGAATTGTTTTTGTCCATAAAATTGTCTCTCAAGAGTTTCAGGGTAAACCCTGAAACCAGAAGAATTAGATGGTACCTGGCTACAGCTGTCAACCACTGGGAAGCAGATCTGTGTAGGAGATCCTGGATACAGTGGGAGAACAATGTGGAAGAAAACTCAAAATTACAAAAAATAAATAAATAAATAAAAAAGATCAGACTTGGTCTGATAGAGCCAGGTGAAACCTGAAACTATGGCCCCTAGATGCCCTCAGGTCTGGAATTGAACTCACTTCTGTGGCTTCCAGCCAAATAGAAGATTGGCATATGGGCTGAATATTTACATCAGGTAGATACACTCCTTGGAGAGATCAAACATGGGAGAACAGAGGGCAGTATATGCACAGGGAGACAGCTTGGGGGGCAGGAGTGCATGAGAGGGACACAGGGAAGAAATGGCTATGGGGAGGAAGTGGGAGGAGAGCTGTTACATTGTGGGAAATTATTCTGTAAACTTTCACCCAGATCACAATACAAATTAAAAAAAAAAAAAAGAACTTCAAAATATACCTTTATTACCATGGTGAATAAGACTACATTACATGACTTGGGATGTGATGCCACTGACTTTACAGTTCTCAGAGGAAAGAACTTTCCTCAGAGGGAAGGTACTCTATCCCTGAGCCGTATCTCAGAGCAACATGTTCTAAAGTTTGGCAGTCAGAACTAATATGTACTTTTGCTACCAATGTCTTTTCTCGAAAAAGTCAGTACTGTGTTAGTCTTTTTGGTATACAACAGTACATTAAGCTAGATATTTAGAAAATTTAATGATTTCAAAGCCTTTTCCTGGATTTAAACAACATTTTTTTTTTTTTTTTTTGCTTGTTAAAGGTTGGGTTATTTTCCCAAAATGCGTAATATCTTATCTTCCCATGGCAAAGCTAATGTGTCTTTTTCTTTTTCTTTTTTTCGTAAAATGAAACCTAGCCTTATAGAATTGAATACCTACTTAATTTTCTCCTTCATGTAAGCATTTCAGTATTCAGAAGAATCTAGCACAATTTTCCAATTTAAGAGGCTTTGTAATTTATTAAAAATAGTATCTCAAAATAAACCTTCAGAAGATCCCATTAACATATTTCAATATGGAATATAGAATTGGTCTACATTCAACTGAGAAAGGGTTCTAAAAAATATATTGTGACAGATATATGTCAACTGCTTTAGATTTACAGAAACTTTGAATAAACTGGAATGCAACTGAGAAAGAATCATGAAATGAATAGCACTGTAAAACACTACCAGCAAGTTGGACATATCTAAAATAGTACTCTGTACTATTATTAAGGATTGTTTCTCTTACACACACACACCATACAAAGGAAAAAGGTAATAGTAAAACATGTTGAACCCAACAGAAAGGTCTAGTTCAAAACCTGTTAACAGTCAGTGACTAATTTTATAGCAAAGAGACATGAGCAAAAATGCAGTAACAGAGCAAAAGGCATTTTTTCCCACCTCATTTACTACATGTCTCTCAAGTTTAAAGGGCTTAGCAGAACCTACAAATTATATAAACAGTAATTTTTCTTTTTTCCTTTTAATTTAAAATGAGCATCTTCTGGAGGAAAAGACCTTCACAAAGCACATTCAAGGTTCCACCATTATCAAGGTAACAGAAGTTAGGAGTTCAATGATCATGTCCTTCCCTTTCCCACATCACAAAGTCTAGAGGTGGGGACAGAGAGTAAGTGAGGCCCATTAGCACACAGCTCAGCAGATATGGTATGTACCAAGCAAAAGATTACAAGGGATGCTTTTTGCATTTTTCAAAAAGATACAAAGATGTTAACCAGAATCCAAATAAAGAACCTTCAATAAAAACAGCTCCTTTAAACAACTGATTTTTTCCTTTCTCTATTATCTATAATCTCTCACTTTCAGAGGGCTCCACATCCCCAGTACACATTGTCTGGTAATTCTTTGGACTTGGGCATCTCTGCACTCTCCCCTGCCACTTCAGGGGAGAGGGGAACTCTTCTGCCTGGTTACACTGTGGTCAGCATACACCTCAGGTCATGCACCCATCCTTGTGCAGGGGTGCTAGAACTTCTGGGGTGCTCTTTCAGTGAGAAAACTTGCAGGTACCTGCAACCAGCTGTACCTGCACTTTCATAAGGCAACTACTACCTCATGTGTCCTACAGATGACCAAAGTTACATTATATCCCGGGAACTGCACAATTAGTGGTGTTATAGAGCAGACAGTGAACTAACAAATGAAAAAGAGATCCATGAAAGGCTGGGACGTGTTCTTAGGGTTCTAAGAAAAGGATGTATACCACTTCTTAAAGCCAGCTCACTACCTGCTCTCAATCAGTCGTTACATCTTGTGAACTCCTGTCAAAGTCACGGTCCAATATTTAAGACAAACACAAAAGCACTCAACATTCATAAGCAGCAGCACTACTAGTGACTTCAGGTAGAGACTCTCAACTGAGTTACTCTGACAAATTTTTGCTTCTTCTCTAAGGTTGATGTTATTTATTATAAAGAAGCCAGCATTTCTACTTTCTTTTATGTAAAATTTAAGCCTATGTATGTGTGATAAGGGAGCTCTGGTGGCATAGTGCCTACGGTATTTGACTGCTAACCAGACGGCTGACAGTTCAAACCCACCAGCCACTCCTTGGAAGGAAGGTTGGGCAATCTAGTTCCGTAGTGATACTGCCTTGGAAACCCAAGGAGGGGTCACTATGAGTCAGATCTGACTCCATGGCAGTGGGTTGGGTTTATGTGTGATGATAAACAAGTTTTCTATGAGTTAGAGTTTACTCAATTTGGTTAAACAGGTCTCAGAGTAAGTTCTCTGTATGATTTTTTTAAAATTGTTATTTGGGTCAAAGTTTACAGAACAAATTCAGTTTCTATACAATAGTTCACATACATTTTGTTTCATGACATTTACTACAATCCCCATAATGTAATGCTCTCTTCCCACTTCCTCTCTGTGGTTACTTTTTCCCTGTGTCCTTCTTTCCTATACATTACTGCTCTTTGAGCTATCTCCCTGTGCAAATACTGTCCTTCTGATCTCCCAAGGTTGAATATTCTGAGTGTACCTACCTAATGTAAATATTTACTTTATACACCTACTGTTTGGCTGGAAGTCACGGCAGTGAGTTCAATTCCAAGCTCCAAGGGAGACTAGGGACCATAGTCTTGGGGGTGTGACCAGTCTCTATCAGTAAGCTTGTTGCTTAAATGATTATGAGTGTCATTACACATTTTTCTCCCATTTTATTCAGGATCTCATACTTTGATCCGTTTCTGAGTAGTTGACAGTGGTAGCGGGACATCATCTAGTTCTTCTGGTCTCAGGGTTCTGTAGGCTGAGGTTTGCATGGTCCATTAGTCCGTACGCAACTTTGATTTTCTTCATTCTTCTTTGCTCCAGATGAGGAGAGACCAACTGTTGCATCTTAGATAGCTGGTTGCAATCTTTTCAGATCCCAGTT